CTTTTGGAAAGAAAAATAGCACCGTCCCTATATAATCTCAATAATATTAATAGTTTATAAATGTAATTTGTCTTAATTCTAATATAATTTTAATAGTACGGATAATTATTGGTGTTATTATTTAGCATTCACAATAATATAATTATAATTTTTTTACATAATATAAGGATGTGCGTGTTCGATAAATTATATGCAGTTCTACTCTGAACTCATGAATATCCTTACACCCACGAGTACCCGTTGGATTGAGTTAGATTTTCACTTTCAAAACCCAATGAATGTTTTACTGAATCATCTTGATGGATGCACCCACTAATATGGACTTTGGTGTGAAACACCGATCCAATCCAACCCATTTTCATCCGTTACATCAACTCTGTAATCAACTAAACTTTCCATGATTCAGCCCCAGAATAACAACATTCATGATGGTTGAATCCGACAAGTGAGTTAAATTGGTTCCGACCAAAACTGATCATCTAAATGATCAGAGTACACTTTGGTTGGACTATATTGGAAAAAGTCAAAGTCGGGTTGACCAGTCAAATCCAGATTGAACCAGTTAAAACTAGGTGGTCTCACAAGTCAAAATCGGGGTTGAAGATGAGGATTGATAACTTTGTAATTTATATTTCTTTTGTAGAAATAATCTGTTAATATATGAATGTAGATTAGTAAGATTGTTTTAAATATGATATATATGGATAATGATATAGAAATTTTCTCACATATTAAGTTAAAACCATCTTAAACTAGTTGAACTCAATCCAATAATTAAATTTCGACCCACTCATCAAACTAGTTTAATGACATAATTCGATTTGACAACCTTGGACCGAAGTCTCTCTATAGTCTCTCCCCATTCTTTCTCTCTCTTTCAATCGCATTGATACGCCACGGTTTCGTTTTGACGTATCTTCAATCAAAACTACAACTCAGACCCAAGAAATAACAATTACAACACCCCTTGTCTTGAAAATTGGGTGACAGACACAAACACACGCTGTCTGTCTCAACCTATGAGAGACACAGACTACAAAACACAAAATAAAATAAAAGAAGAAGGGATAGTGGGAAAAAAACTTCACTTCCAAGTTCCATCCATCCATCAATCAATCCCATGCAACATCTCTTCTCCCTCACTTTCCCCACCACCATCTACCCTACCTACAATAATAATAAACCAAAATCAAAGAAAATTTAATTTAATTCAAACACAAAGGAAAAATGATAGAGTACGAAACAAAAAAACTACAAAACTTACAAAACTCTCGAGTTTTACCATTATATGAGACAAATCATACCACCTCGTGATACCAGGAACGATAATGGGAAATATTCGAGCGTGTATTTTGATACTCATACTTGTTAAGTGATAGATTGAGTTCAACTTGGGTAATTTATCACAAGACGCTTGCCGGGACAGGTTGGCTCATTTTACATATGTAGTTTAAAAAGAAAAACATTAGAAATATTTATTTTTAATTAAAAATCAAGAAACAAACTATAACATGATAAATGTAATAATTTTTTTTAGAAATTGAGGTTCTCACTTATTTACAATTTCATTATAATTAAAATATATGTGGTAATAAAAGTAAAATTCAAGTAATTTGAGTAAAATACTAAAATTGCATGTAAGTTGACAAAACAGGTAGAGAATGAGACGGGTCGGAAAATGTCAGCTCGAGAAGAGTACACATGTCCGTAGGCGGGTATTACGAGTCAGCTCGAAATGTCATTCGTACTTGATAGTTGATAGAATCATATAAAAAAAATTATGATTCGTATCCCTAATGGTAAGGCACAAGTTTTGTACGTTTTGTACCGTAACCCTGGCCGGAAGCCCGAAACAAAGCTATGGTTAGGAAGTTTGGTTTATGTGAATTCATTAATGTATTTTAGGAATTTGATGCATTGATTGTGAAAATAAATATTAGGAAATGCTGTTCATAAAAGACGTACATCAGCATGCATATATTATAGGTAGTAGATGATGATGAAGAGGGTAGGGAGTCCTCTCTATATTCATTTCATTTCTATAATTTTCATTCAATTCAATTCACCCATCCATCCCACCTCGAGGCATTTTCTCTCCATCACTTGTCACTTCCCATGATTTTACATTACCCCCTTTATCATTTATTCTTTTACATCACTTCCTATATTATATTAATTAATATTATTCTCTCATTTCTCTCCATAGACCAAAACATCTATACACGGTTGAAATTCTTTACAATGTTTTTAAGGAATAAACAAAACCGAAAAAACAAAGTGAAATGTAGAAGAGGAATCAGACTTTTTTTATTTAGAATTGGCTTGGAACTTTACACATTGTATTCTAAGTATACATGTATTTTGTAGATTATAATATTTTTTGACTTGTTTTAATCATAGAATACATGATGATTACATAATACTAAGAAAATGATGTATACTTAATCTCACCTTTTTTATGAGATTTAGTATCTATAATTCATTTCATGTATAACTCATGCATTCTTCTATGTTTTTTAAACAAAGCATTATGAAAACCCACACTTTCTTAATATACAGATAATCCTAATACACACATTCTTGTAATATATCATTTTCAGAACCAAAGGTTCCAAACGATCCCTAAGTGTCTGCCTATTCAATTCATATTCCATTAAATCACTATTTCAACAGATTTGGAAGTGATTGAAGTTTGATTCATTTTTTGTTTTTACTATCATGTTCGAAATCTATCTTTCGTACTAGTCCCAATGACTACTAAAACCAATAACGAAAAAAAGTAAATTCAGCTTGTAACCAACCAAAATCACAATAACAGAGCTATACATAACTTCGGTTATAACCTTCTCAATATTTGATTTTAGATTTTAAATATGGATCATATGATACAAAAATAACATAATGTTAATATATTAACTCTCCTTCATCCAAGATATCGAGTTTGAAACCAAGACGTATTGCTATTTTTTTATTTTTTGTCCTACTCTAACTTGGCTATTGCCAATTTGCTATTGTCATGCTAACTAAGGGGTCGTTTGCTTCAAGGATTTGGTACATGGATTTGGTACAAAAAAACCAACTATCAAGGATTTAGGTACAATCCGTTGTTTGCTTGCACCTTTTTTGGAGACCAAATCCGTGGGGCCCACGGATTTTAAGGGTCCAAATCCGTGGGGCCCACGGACTTATAAATCCCACATGTTGATGTGGGATTTGGAATATGGCATAAATCCTTGATGGGATTTTACCCATATACCCTCATGCACTTTTAATATTCCAAGATTGCCCTTAAATTTAACTATTATACATTATAATTAACAATAAATGAATAATATAAACATTCAATTAATGTGCAAACATGAGTTAGATTTTTTATATCATTTCTTGTGTTCTAGTTTTCTTTGACCTTTTCATGGAACGTGTAATTCTTTGTTCTCCCGATTCTAATATATGTTGTTATATGTCACTTTTGAAAAGGAGGACAAAGAATTGGTAATTGATTATGTTACGTTAAAAGTTAAAACGAAATTTTCTCGTTTATTATTATTGTCCATGTGACAACATTATGCTTATTAGTATGTATTGTCCTTGTTTTGTGTACATATCATAAACATGTTAAACATATAGAAAATGATAGTAAGGTAATTTTGAAGTTTTATCCTTGTTTTGTGTACATATCATAAACATGTCAAACATATAGAAAAGGGCAGTAATGTAATTTTTGACTTTAAGTAGTAAATCTCACACCTTTAAATCCATGATAAAAATATCCCAACAAACAAAGGATTGTTACAAATCCATGATGCCTCAAATCTTTGATAAATCCTTGGGTTTTTAAATTAAAAAACCCTCATTTTTAAATCCATGAAGCAAACGACCCCTAAAATTATATGTTTCTTTCCTTATACTATGTTTGGCAACAAGAGGTGCAAGTTCTAGGAGGTGTAAGTTGAGAGGTAAATTTTTTGTGTGCAACTTGGTGGAGGGGTAAATTGTTGTTTGGATGAAAAAGTAGTGGGTGCAAATAGAGTGAAAAGTAAATAATTATATGATTATAAAATAGATTTATCAAATTTATAAAATATTATCACAAAATAATAAAATGAAAAATCAATATAAAATAATAAATATGTTTAATAATATTTTCAATAAAAATAATTAGTACATAATAATGCTCATATAATTATTTATAACAACAATAATAATCATTGGCCGAGCAACCTTGAAACTCAAAACACAACTCATAACTGGTCATCCTAAGTGGGTTCTCGTGCATAACTTTAAATTGAATATGGTCAAACTTAGTCAAACACGTTTGAATCTGTAAGTTTTAACTATTAATTAAAGTAAATAGAATCAACTAAATTGTTTCTGCCTATCTTTTCAACAAAAGCTTATTATCTCTAATTTTCAGTGCAAATTCGGGTCAACCAAGATATCGATTTGACTAGACGAAAATTGACAAACTTGCTCTCGGAGTCAAACGGTCAACCCCAAACAACTTATACATTAATATAGATATAAGAAAAAATTAATAATATTAATTGTTATGTAATTATAATCTAATTAAAAATCAATAATTTCCCTCTTCTCTCTTCCCCTTTCTTTCTTTCCTTCCCTTGCACCCCAGTTTGGAGGGGTAAGTCGAAATATTGAATTTAAGCTTACGTTTTGCACCTACCTACTATTACAAAATAACCAAACGACTGTAAACACCTTGGAACCCCAAGCTTGCAGCCTTCCATTTGCACCCCTTCCTGTTATGATTTTGCGTTATCATTTTCTCATTCATTTTGATGCAATCCCTATACTAACTCCCATTATGGGCATGAAATCATGTCACTGAGAGAGATTAAAATAATAGTATAAAGATGCAGTTTTCACCCAGCTCAATGCTTGATGGTTTTGGTTGCCACAGTGATTTGAAGGACTTGAAAGCCCCCATCTTTTCATGTCCATTATTTTTATATTTGACATTGATAGTTGATTCATATGAATTTGTTTCATGTCCTCCTCTTTTGACCCTCTCCTCTTTTCTTCCCTTTCTTCTTCTTCTTCTTCTTCCTCATTACTATATCTTCACATCACCATTTCCAACGAAGCCAGAAGAACCTCTCAACTAGAACCCAAAACAAAGAGACGAAAGTGAACAGAGGATTCTGGAGAAGCTAAGTAACTACTAACTAACAACAATGGAGAAGAAGCAGGCCATGTGGTTGTACCCAAGGCTTCATGGATTCAACCCTCCTGAGAGATGGGGTCACTCTGCTTGCTACTCCCATGGCTCTCTCTACATCTTTGGGGTATAAACTAAAAACCCATTAATTTTTCACTTGCCGCCATGCACATTGAATCTTCCAAGTTTGACCGTTGGGTTTTAAGAACTGGGCTGTTGTTTTATTTTTGGCAAAGCTGAGCAAACGCTTTCTTTCAGCAGCTTTTTGTTCTTCCCCTGTTTCCTCCATCACCCTCTCTCTCTCTCTCTGTTCTTTTTTCTGACGCTGGACTGTCGGAATGTTGGGGAAGAACTCTGTTTCCTTTTGTGTGTGTGTGTGTGTTTTTTTTCTGGCTCGGGTAAAACAGACTTGTTATCGAAGGATATAGTAAATCATTGATCGGGTAGTGTTAAAGTTTAAAACTTTCCAGCGTCTCTTGATAGAATTCCTCTGTTTCCTTTTCTGGTTCAAACAGTTAGTTTAGCTCTGTTTTATGCTGTTCTGTTCTGCTCTCTGCTAATTATCAATGTTCATCAATTGGGTAGTGTAAAGTTTTTTACTCTTCCATTCTCCTTTACATTTGGCCCCGTAGGGATGCTGTGGAGGCCTCCATTTCAGCGATGTTCTAGTTCTAGACCTCCAAACAATGTCGTGGACCGCCATGGAAACCAGAGGGCAAGCTCCAGGTCCCAGAGACAGCCACAGTGCTGTAATCCTAGGGCGAAGAATGATCGTTTTCGGAGGAACCAACGGCCGAAACAAAGTCAATGACCTCCACGTCCTCGACCTCGACACCAAAGAGTGGATAATCCCACAATGCATTGGGAACCCGCCTTCGCCTCGCGAATCCCACACAGCAACCATCATTGGAGGTTCCAAGATGGTGATTTTCGGCGGGAGTGGAGAAGGCGAATCGAATTACTTGAATGATCTCCATGTGCTAGACCTTGAGGGCATGGTTTGGGTCGCCCCTGAAGTTAAAGGTGATATTCCTGTCCCTAGGGACAGCCATTGTGCCGTTGAGATTGGGGAGAGCAGCAACAAGCTTCTCGTTTTCGGTGGGGATCGCGGCGATAGGTACCATGGCGATGTCGATCTCTTCGACATGGACAGCCTCACATGGTCCAAGGTAAGTTTTAACAATTTGTTACAAATGTCACGCGACACATGTTAACGATGACTCGACATCCATCACTCAGCTCGGTTTAAACCTTGGAGCTAACAATTTAGTAACGATTCTTTGTGTTGCTTGGATTCAGCTAGTTGTTGATGGGTGTTCTCCTGGAGTGCGAGCAGGGCATGCTGCTGTGAGTATTGGAACAAAGGTGAGTGTTTGAACTGTATGTTGTGTGTTGTTGTCCCCTCTTTCGAATTAAGGCTCGATATTAATGGAAGATTTGATCTTTGTTTGTGGTGTAATGCAATGACTGCAGGTTCTTGTGATTGGAGGGGTTGGAGACAAACATTACTACAATGATGTTTGGGTTCTGGATACAGCGAGTTCTTGCTCGTGGACCCGGCTAGATGTTTGTGGACATCATCAGCCTCAGGGGAGGTTCTCTCACACTGCTGTGGTCACTCCTTTTGACATTGTCGTCTATGGCGGGTAAGCAACACAAACACACACTAACTAAAAAGCTTACAGTTTTGGCCATGGCAGAAGAGGTAAAGATTCTGCCTTAAATTTAATTGTTGTTGTTGAAGGTGTGGAGAAGACGAGAGGCCACTCAACGAGCTGCTGCTCTTGAATTTAGGGGCGCATTCGAACAATCTCGGCCACAAGATCATCCAACAGAAGCCCTTCTGGATGAGATCAGCAGATACGACCAATCCGAAGAGGAAAAGGATGATGAATTCAAATGCTTCAGCACGCTGCTGGGAGGTTGTGGAGTCACCATCGCAGCAAGAGGAGCATTCACTTTCGCTGTCTCAACATTCCTCCCCATCACTATCTGATCAAGAACAGGCCTCGACGAAGAAGAGAGCAGCCAGCGATTCCTTCTCGAGCTTGTTCAAGCAATTGAATCCGCCTCCAACGAGGATTCACCACCGCACTGCAAACATGAACGACGTGCCAAGTACTAGGAACATGATGGAAAGAGCAATCTCGTACAACGCTGCAGAGCAGCAGTTTCTTAGGAGGAAAGCAATGCTGCTGTCTCCTCCAGATCAGCAGAAACCAATGGAACAACAGAACCTGGTAAAACTATAACAAGCAATGCTGTTTACATTTGACAAACAAAGACTACTCTTATCCATTCGATTCTTGACGAAAAGCTCAAATCGTTGTTTCTTCGTGTGACCAGATTGGAGCCGAGGTACGGGGCAAGGTGGACGGATTGTTCGATTCGGGGCTACTAATGACTGCAAATGTGAATGGGAGGATACTGAGAGGAGTGTTGTTCCCAGCTGTAGGTTTTTTGTTTGCATTTTATATACATCATTCACTATCCAGTTACACAGACATGAGGCCAAATCTTCATATATTTGGAAAGTTGATTAATGCTAAGTTGCTTTCTCACAGGCGCCCATGGTTGGAAATGGAGTAGGGGGATGGTTGTCATCTTCACCGTCAACAACAACGACAACACGAGGCGAGTTCTCTACTCGTGTGAACCAAAACAGAATGCTCCATCGACTGCCATCATCATCATCATCGCATTCGTTATCAGCGTACCGGAATCAGAATCAAAATCATCGCCTCTTCGTACTGAGTAATAAGCCTAGTGAAGAGGCAGGGGTGGGGCAGAGTCGAGTGATGAACAGAGGAGGTGTTTACTATGCAGAGAGTCAAGGGAGTAGCCCGGCGACAACAACGGTGGCGGGGTCCGGAGGTGAGAAGGAGAAGAAGCTGAGGATGATGGATCATCTTGAGGGTGTGGTGCTAACATTAGGAGGACCAGGATCATCATGTGGAGATGGAGGTAGTTAAAAGAAGATGGCTGAATGGTCAAAATGGGTGTTCTGTTAGTTTGTTTAGTGGGTTTTTTGCTATGTATATCTTTAAGTAGGGTCTGCAAGTAATCAAAAAGTTTGAATCTTTAGCCAAAATCAAGCCTGATAATGAAAGAGCATGAAAACAAAAGAGCAATTGGAAGGGGAAAGAACCCGTGGTTTGCGGGGGTCCTGTTCCCTTGTTCTTCTTCTTCACGAGTCCATCTCCTTTGCCCTGATGGGGCAGATCTGCCTGTCAAACTTTGTTTTTTGAGATGACATGATAGTGGGAGCTGAGTTTGATTTTATGATTGAGTGATTATCAGTTGGATAGATAGATAGATGGGGCTGCTGTTTTGTCATGATTGATTCGATTGATTGAAGGTTTCCAATCTTGTCTTGTCACCACCACCAAGACATACCACCATGAGTCAGTCACTTGTCTGTCTCCCCTGCCTCCATCCATTTTCTCATCTCTCTCTCTCTCCAACTCCCAAAATGAAAGTCAGCTTTTCCCCCTTTGTTAGCAGACTCACTAACCTTGGCCAGTCTAAGAAAATCATATTAGAAATGATCATCTGCTTTAATCAAGTTATCAGATTGTATTTACTATGAATGATACACTTGCAATGGTATACTTAAATCCAACACCATCGCATATACCTACTACTACAACAGTACAACTGCCTACGGCTGGGGGAAGACTGCATTCAACAGCTTCTAGAACGTGGGGATTACCTCGTCTCAGTTCCTTGTCTTGCTTGCTGCTGCATATACACGCTCCACCCTTGTGCGTATTTTGCTGCTCAATCGGTTCAGTCGCTTCAAGCTAGTGCAGAACCTTTCCATGCCGTCCACATCTCGCCCTTCTTCCAACTGCTTTAGCAGCTTATTCAACGTTTCAGTCTTAGGAAACCATCTCTCTTTCCCGGCATTGGCAAAGGAAGCACTGGTCTCCAGGCACTTCAAAGCCTCGTCTACTTGATTCCCCTTCAAGAAAATGTTCATGTACAAGTCCAATGTCTTCAAGTTAGGTTCAGTTCCCCTACTCAGCACACTCTGTTGCACTGACCTCGCTTCAGCTACCATCCCTTGGCTCAGATAGAAATCCAATGCAACGTTCACTATTCGGATATCATGCACCGAACAGCTCGCTTCCCACTCTTCGTAACAAGCCTTCAACGAGTCCGGTTCTTTCAGCCTCGAAAGAGCTGAAACCATGGCCAGATAGCTCGCATTGCTCACCTTAGCCTTTTTCTTATTCGACTTCAAGGCATCCCACACTCTGTGCACACTCGATGAATCAGAGAGGCGCCCATACAAGCTGATCAGAGTGTGGAAGGCCTCGTCATCTGGTGGATCGCCCATTTTCTCCAACTCGTCGAGCACAACACATGCATCCTCATGACGCCCTGCATTGACATAGATGGTAGCTAAGTGTCCAATCGTAAACCAGTCGTGTTTCACACCTTTTGAAGCCATCCTTTTGATCACTCCTTCCACAGATCTCGTGTCCTTCAATAAAGCGTAGCTACTCATCAGCTTGTTCCAGGTGTATGTATCAACGGCAATGTTCTTCTCCTCCATTTCTCGTACCAACATTGGCACTTTCTCCTGCTGACCAACTTTCAAGTAGAGATGCATAAGGTTGTTGTAGTTAAGCGGATTCGGAGCAAGGAGAAGCCCCAATTCATTCATCTCATCAAAGATTTGTTCAGCATTCCTCACCATACGTTCCCTGCAGTAGCAGCTCAGAAGGGATCCATAGGTTTTGTGCGTCTTTTCGGACGAATCCAGTCCACGAAAGTACTCTTCTGCTGCAGCAATTCCTCGTGTTCTAGCTAGAAGATCTATGTAAACAGCGTGGTCGGCATTGTTCACTGAGTTATTCTGGTTTTTACCCCACCATTCATACAACTGCAGTTCAATGAACCATAAGTTCTAGAATCCCACCACCAAGGTTCTATCAAAACGGCAACTGGGCATAACTGAACAATCCTTAGAGTTAAATAAGGGGCAAAATTTTCTTCACCTGTAAAGCGTGATGGTACTTCTTGAACTTGCGCAGCTGGTTCGCGTACTTGGCAATGTGGCCTCTCTTCACCGATTTCCCTTCTCTAACCCATTCGTCCAGCAAGTTCCCAACTCGGCTTCCTTCGTCCCTCTCTCCGAAGCCCGCTAGTTTCCTGAAAAGAAGAGTCTTCTCCCCAACTCCCGCCTCCGATTCCGACGCCGTGCACAAAAATCGCGGCGGCGGAGCTAATCGGAATCGCTTCAGAACATAATAAGCAGCAGCCATTGTTTCTCTCTCAGTCTCCCCAAAGCTGAAGTTTGGTACCTTTTCAACCAGCCCATAAAGTTTGTAGTGTCAAGCGTCGTCGTTTTACACATATCTCACTGGCTAATGTTGGACTTTAAGGCCCAAAAAATGATTTGATTGTTAAGCCCAAATGTATACGAGCGGGCTGCTGATGGTCTTCACTCTCCCGGGCAAAACTGGCAAGTGGCAACCTTCTTCTTCCTCAATTTTTTTTCTTTCTCTGTCTCTCGCTCCTTCTTCGTCTTTACTCCCTTCCCCGCTTTCCAGAAACATCCAAATTCCCCCCAACGCAGAGAAGCTTCTGCTTAGCTCTCCATTCCTTCCGTGCCCTTCTTCTCGCCGTTCATGGCCGGGGCTTCGCAGAAGCATGGGCGTGATCAGCCTATGGTATGTGTGCGCTTCTTCTTCTTTCCCTTTTTCCTCTCTGTTGATTCTCTCTCGCTCTGAACCATGGCACATTAAGGGGTTTCAAGCAATTGAGCTTAGCCACACAAAAAAAAAAAGAAGGTTAATGGGTTCATTATTCCGTTGTTCTGTTTATCCCTTTGTTCAGGACTTCCAGGGATTTCTGAATGACTTGCAGGATTGGGAGCTTAATCTCAAGGACAAAGACAAAAAGATGAAGTCTTCACCTGCTTCTGATCAGGTGAGTCCCGAATTTGTTGATCTTCACTGCGAAAGTCGTCCGCTTTGCTTGGGCTGAGGGGGGATTACTGTTGAGCAACTGGAATTATTGTTCTGTTAGATAGTCTCACAGAGATGTCCGTCACAAAATTGGGAAGGAGTGTGGTCAATCTGGCGAAAATGTGAAAACCATGTAACATTGCTATGGTTTGATGAGCATTCTCCAATTATTATTGTCTGTCTACTCTCAGATTGGTGGGAATGGAAGATCAATGAAGAAAAATTCTGCAACAGATTCTTCGAGGAGGAATGTTTCAGGAGGATTTTTCGATTATTCGCGGAGCATTGATTCGATTGGCAGATCATCAGATGATGAGAGCTCAGTGGATGCTACTTCGGAGAAAGAATTGGTAGGGAATTGGGTTCCACTAGCCCTTGCTCTTTGTTCTTGTTCATTTGTGCTGGTTTTCTTGATGGCAAGTCGATTGCGAAATGTATTATCTAGGGCAATGAGTATTTCAAGCAGAAGAAATTTGCAGAAGCTATAGAATGCTACTCTCGGAGCATAGCACTTTCGCCAACAGCAGTTGCCTATGCAAATAGGGCGATGGGCTATATCAAACTTAAAAGGCGAGTTATTTTTTCCTTTGCTTCCCCATGCCATACATTCTTCTAGTCTATTTATCTCTGCTTCGCTTTCAAATTGGTAAAACATATCTTGTGACATTGTGAATAGTGATGATGTTTTATTGCTTCAGATTTCAAGAGGCTGAAGATGATTGTACAGAGGCCTTGAATCTAGATGATCGTTACATAAAAGCATATTCACGTAGAGCTACAGCTAGGAAAGAATTAGGAAAACTTAAGGAGTCAATGGAAGGTACAATATCCCAATTCTAAGTTTTGATCCTCTTGCATTTGGTCTATTTTGTGTGTTCTAAATCTATTACTTCCTTCAGATTCTGAGTTTGCCCTAAGGTTGGAACCTAATAATCTGGAAATCAAGAAACAGTATGATGAGGCAAAGTCTTTGTATGAGAAGGTGAGACTTGCTCTAATTTAATGCTTTGGTTGTTTTGGTTCTGCAACTCCATAGAATTGTCAATTGATGGTCCTAGTTTTTGGCAGAAACTTTTTCAGAAGTTATCAGGAGGATCCAAAGCCTCCGCAAAATCAGCAGTAAAATTAGGAAGGTCGGATATTAAAGTGAATGGGGATGGAAATGCTTCTGTTTCTATACCATCCCAGGCTGGATCAGCTGCTGTCCGGAAAGATAAGATTAAGGTCGTAGCCTCAAAAGAGATTGGGTTTCTAAGTATGTTCATTTCTTTTCTCTGGTCTCAATTTTCTTCCGCTAGCAGGAGAATGGTGGTGGAGCTCTTGGTACCAAAGCTTCATCGGTAGAGGAAATAGAAATCATAAGCTCAGTTACTGGCAGCAGAGTTGAAATGCATCATGTCAACAATCCTCAAGCTCCTGCTGGTCCAAGCTCTAGCTCGGGACAAGTCCAGGTACAATTTGAATACTTTATTTCTCCAAGGTTTGCAAAAAGCTTTAAAATATTTGTTAAAATTTTCTGAAGGGATTGGTCATCATAGAATCCCTGTTCTTAGTACCTTTTGATTCTTTTTAACAGAATCGTAGCAAAAATGAAAAGCGAGAGCTTAAACCGTCTGTTCATGAGCTTGCTTCACGAGCAGCTTCTCGTGCCAAGGCTGAAGCTGCAAAAAACATTACACCACCAACTTCAGCTTATCAATTCGAGGTTTCTTGGCGAAGGTTTTCTGGGGACCGAACGCTGCAGGCTCACCTGCTAAAGGTTGTCTGTCTATGTTTTAAGTATAAACCAACTTACTTCATGGTGGTCACCCTTCATTCAGAGTTGATTCACGATTTCCTTTGATTTCCCATGTTAGGTTACCCCTCCAAGTGCGCTTCCACAAATATTCAAAAATGCATTAACTGCTCCTATGCTAATAGAAATAATCAAGTGTATTTCCACATTCTTCAAGTGAGTCTATTCTCCTCTTTGAAATGAATGGCCATTCTGTCATAAGTTGTTTAAGTGAATCTCTCATCATGATTTGTTTGAAATTCAGAGACGACATTGATATGGCGGTCAAATACCTAGAGAACCTGACTAAGGTCCCAAGGTTTGGTATGCTTATCATGTCCCTTTCAACACCAGACAAGGCTGGTAAGTTCTTCCAACACACTTGAGCTTTTACCTGCAAGTCAAGTGTTCAACTTCTCTTAAGACTTACTCAACTACATTTTCTGAGCAGATCTTCACAAGATGTGGGACGAAATATTTTGCAGCGACGCGGCCCCAATTGAGTATGCAGAGATCCTCGATAACTTGCAATCTGCATACTGCATATGATTGCATGAAGTAGCTGACTTGTTTTTCCTTTATTCACCAACATTGTTACTGTAGTATAACATACATCTTTCAAGGTCTATTGATATAAGAAGTTCCTCCCCCTCGTCTTCTCTAATTGGCTTGTTCCTTCAACGTTTCACCTTATTGTCGTAAGGCGGCATAGTTCCTGTGGTAAAGTGATGGATCAGTAGAGATCTCATCCTCACTGCTGATGCTGACTACATTTTGGTCCGTTATTCTTGGACAAAATTGCAAAACCTTCAGGAATGGCCACAGTCCACAGCCTTTGTTTTTGTTTTTTGTTTTAGGACTTAATTGAAAACGAAAACAGAAACGGGTACCAAACTAGAATCTCGTTTGAAATTATCCATCCGCAATTGGTGCGATTCTGGGATAATTAGCATAAATGATCACTGGTGACGGGCCCGGCCAGTTGTTCGGATTCAGTAGTCAATCACGTAAATAATAGTGACAATTTGTATTCGAGTACTTATAAGTGTAAGAAAATCTTAATTCTTCAAATACTCTAGACATTCGAATCAATTTGGCCCAATTATTAAAATAGTTCAACACTTCAAAAGGATGAACACCATACTGTTTTTTGACATAGTAATTACTAATCGTCTTAAATCCTTTTACGAAAATGAAAGAAAACCACCATGCAAGGGAACCAACTCCTAAATAAATATCACTACTTGTTTTCTTTTTGACTTGTTTGCATTTCCTCTTGCATGAGCAACAACCTCATCGTCACAATTGATAATCCTTCATATCCATTAGTGACACATCTATATCCAATATCAATTGACTCTTCCTTCTCTTTGATTTCAATTCTCTGAGTATAATTTACGTCGTCCAAGTTACGAATATTATCCTGCATATGTTCTTTCTCTCCATCACCAGTTTTTACCTCCACCTCATGAACAATGTCCTTCTCCTTCTGAACATCATCATAATCTCTAGCACCGGATCTATTACCATTTACCTCCGCCTAATTGATTATCATTTTTATGCAAATATAATTTACCTCAATCAAGTCAAGAAGATCGTCGGTCGGCTGGTCTTCCTCGTCCTTCAATATCTTGAAAATTGTGTAGTCTATATATAGTTGGATTAGCGATGTTGTAATTTGTGAGCTTGATGTCGAACTCCAAGGTCATTCCCTCAATTTGTAGGAGATGAGTAGGTGGTGGTCCTCTAATTCGATCGTTGTCTTGGAATAGCCTTCCACCAGACATTCCAAAAAATTGAGCTCCCGCACTATCCATAACAACAAAGTCAGCCTCTCCTGTACCGTCGACAACTCGAAGGTTGACCTTGAATCTGTATAACAATGATAATGACATAAAAAATTGTTGAAGTACACCTAAATTTTTTGTAGGTGGTAAAGACAAAATATTGTTCGCATATTAATTTTTTAATTTATGAAACCAATCTCCTGATATATGTTTACATTAACTCTATTTAATTTAAAATTTTCATATATACGTAGGTAAGGCACCAGTCTCCTGGATTTTTTTTTATATTAACCATATTTTTTTATATATTATACTACGTATGTAAGTTGTTGAATTTTGGCCCATGCATTTCTAATTATTAAGAAACCGTTATATTTTGTGCATTAGTAACATAATCTATGCATTCACCAAAAATTATATAAATTATATTTGTTGGTTCGATTACCTTGTTGTTATCGTTTGTAATGTTTTTTACAATTCCCACAGAATTACTCGTTGGAGTCTTCTTCGAGTTTTTGTGGGCAGATTGTTCAATCAACATAGCACCACCCATTCTTAACCTTGATAACTTTGCATTTGACAAAATATATATTTTCCTATATATCACAAAAATTGTTAGTATATGATAGTTAATGGCTTGATGTCAAAAAATGTTTGGAGCATACACTATTAGTTGTACATGGAGTTTTAGGTCCTTAAATGTCACATGAAACATAAATTTTGCAACTGCTTCATAGCATTCAGGATCTGCTTTAGGATATGGGATTTCAGCAGATATAATTGATTTTCTGAAGAACTATATAATTTACCTTCAGCGGCCAAGAAAAATAATAAATGAGCATGAGGTAGAGCACGTTTTTGAAAATCAATGGCCATTACATTAGCAATGAAAAAAATATCATAATAATTAAAATTGTAATTTAATAGTAATTAGCGAACAAATAACGAACTATGGATGCTTAATGTAAACCTATTGAATCTAACTTACATGCACATGTTTTTCCAAAAAATGCATTCTCCAAAATCTCTTTCGACAATTGATGTAGCTTTAGTTTGAAAACTCGTGGGAGGACACAACTCTATTAGGATCTTTCCTAGTAGTAGTCCTTGTGAAATCAAGCATGTATTGGATCTCAGTCCAAGCAGGATTACATGTAAATGTAATGACAAGATCTGGATATCCTGCCTATCTACAAATTGTCATAACATCGTGGAAGCTTTCATACTTATATCGAGTACTACTTGTATGTTATGAATGTAAAATCACATGCTTTCCACTTAAACTTGTATCTTAATCACCTCTCAAGTAAGAATCCAAAAGACCTTGGTATTAATGTTGTCACAACTTTATTTGATTGTTTTTATTCTAATCAAACACTCTGCCACCATCAATGCATATGCATTAACAACATATTGTCGGAACAACTTTCCACACAATAGCAATGCGTTTGATTCTTCCAATCTTGTTTGGATTCTATAACTGTAAAACTCACCTTGAGTCACATTCTTCTCATTGTATCCATCTGCATCCTCAATGTCAGGATATGAAATATTTGGATGCCAACCAGCCTCACCATGTGGGAATAATATGAGATATTGCAAAGCCATATAACTGGGAAGATATATAATAATTTGTTCCGGTTCATGACTTTGATACTGAACAACAATATCAGGAGAAATGTTTTTTGTCCAGTTCATTAACAATTAGAGCAGTAACATCATTTTTAGATGCAAAATCATATTCTCTACCATCCCTTTCTCTTTTAGCAAGTAACTTAATTTCAACTTGATGAACAGTGTTATCATTCAATCTATCCCTTGCAGATCGAAATGTATTTACTAAGATATTAATGGAATCTAACATCGCCTGCAACTGTTGAATAATTGAATCGTGCAAAGGATTTGAAGCTGGATTAGTGAATAAAAATATAACATGTTTGGAGTTCATTAGCAGTGTCATAGATGCAGAGTTGAGAAAATTTTGGTCTATTACTTACAGTAGGTATCAGGCTACCGATTCGATGATATACTTGTCCTCCAACTGAATAAACATATGCTCCTCTTCCATCATTTATCAATTTACATTCAATAGCAGTTAATGCGAAACCCATTATAGCCTCAGATATGTTCCAAAAAGTAACGTCCCTTTGAAGTGTTTTCTTGCAATAGCATATTCAAAACCTCTTGAACCTGCCTTCGAGGAGGGAGCTTCACTTTGCCTTGTCTGCAACACAATGAAATTTTGGTTCATTGGAGTTCCTTATGGGGTTGGTAATTTCTTTCTTCCACATCATTATTCCACAATATTCACATTTATATGATTGGATCCCAATATCAAACACTTCAATAACTATAGTAATATTAGAACTCATATATAAGAGATACATTGATTAAAATTGTATCTCTAGATCGCATCACCCGAAGATGATTATAACAACTTTTGGCAAGTTTGATGGACCTCAACAATCTATTTCTCTTAGTTTGTAAGTTATTCATCTCAATTTGAAGTCATGCATAGAAGTCATTAAAATAAGAAATCCTAGCATCTATCACATAATTTGATAACATATAAATCGAAAACAAACATGAAAATAATGGATTACCAGTATGAATATTGACAATCTTTCCATATATACGCTTTTGCCTTATATAAAGAGCATGTTTCCTTCTTGCTCATTTAATCAATGGTCAATCAATTCCTTCAACTCTAACTTATGTGCATCAATTTCTGAAAAATGTAAAATGGATAGTGGTAGTTTTGTAAGATCAAACAGTGTCAAATATAGTTAGAGAGATTATAATCAATTGATGATTCATCAATATTCTTACCATAAGAACTTTATTTTGCACTTCATATATATACTAATTAGAATCTATCACATCTTCTGATTATGTAAAAATTGCTCTCTTTTTCCCTGAATAATGCTTGGAACAAACATACATTAAATTGTAAGAGGCTAATAAATTTTTTTGTACATCCATTCAATTTAACCGAACGAATGGAACCAGTATAAATATTGACAATCTTTTCATATATGCGCTTTTGCCTTATATAAAGAGCATGTTTCGTGGTAGTTTTGTAAGATCAAACAGTGTCAAATATAGTTAGAGAGATTATAATCAATAGATGATTCATCAATATGCATACCATAAGAAATTTTATTTTGCACGATAAATACTGATTAGAATCTATCACATCTTCTGGTGATATAAAAATTGCTCTCTTTTTCCCTGAATAAAGCTTGAAACAAACACACATTAAATAGTATGATGCTAATAAAAAAATTGTACATACATTCAATTTTTAATGAACGAATGGAAGCATTATTTGCTTGTTTGAATAACTCTCCACGTGAAGTATTTCTTTGAGGCATGGAACTATAAAAAAGTAGCCTTCAAAAAGTTGTTGTAATAATGGTAAGTAGTATATATATCCTAATGCAATTGCTCTATGTCCCATATGAAAAATAAAAAGAGCAAGATATATCATAAAAGCTTTATCTACATTAGATTTCACATGTTGTAGGCTAAGTTGAGAATCTAAATATAAAAAAAAACAAGATAGTGTGCCTGTCTAGGAAGAACCGAACGGTGGGGAAGAAGAAAATTATTATAATCTACACTAATTATTAATCAAATCTTTTCCACATTGTTTTTTATTAGCCAAACTTATTGAATTACTAATAATTAGCTAAATGCTAGCTTTTAATTAGAAATCTTGTTAGTAATATTAACTTGGTGACATGATATTGACTTAAAGAGACACATGAATGTCAACATTTCAAAATCTCAGTTATTTTAACCAAAAAAAGAATTACAATATTATTAATGATCACGTAAAAATGACTAATATTTTGATACATTACAAACATTTTGTCTAATCATTAATAATTCAATTTCTCATGTAGAATGAGCCACTTAAATTAAAACCCCATATACCATCTGACATGTACTTCTTTCCATAGCCCATGT